TCTTAAAAGTACCTCACATAATAAATTATACTCTGTATAAAACTTGAGAAATGAAATCTTAGTCACATGAATAAAACAAAATAGTTTTAAAAGAGTAATACATTTCTCTCCCTTTCTCCCTCCCTCTCCTTGTCTTTTAAACAAACACACAAACAAACAAATATATAAATCTTAAAAAGGGAATGGCACTGTGGTACAGTGGGTTAAACCACCACCTGCAATGCCAGCATCCAATATGAGGTCCAGTTAGAGTCCTGGCTGCTCTACTTCTGATCCTACTCCCTTCTAATGTGCCTGGGGAAGCATCATAAGATGGCCCACACCCTTGGGCCCTTTCCAGCCATGTGGGAGACCCAGATGGAGTTCCAGGCTCCTAGCTTCAGCCAGGCACAGCCCCAGCCCTTGTGGCCATTTGGGGAGTGAACCAGTAAATTGAAGATCTCTCTCTCTCTCTCTGTCTCTCCCTTTCTCTGTAACTGTGTCTTTCAAATAAATAAATTTTTTTAAAGAGTAATGCATTACTATAATAAACCAGATTTAATGTTTCATTTAAATGAACAAACCTTTTCCTGCCAATGTAAGATGCCAATTATTGCCAAGATGAAAACACAGACACCGATGAGCGCTATTGCAGTCAGTAGAACAATGTTACTTGGAGTAAGATATAATTTGGCACTCCAGCTGTAGATAAGAACAGAAACAATTATGAATTTTAATTTGAAATAACAAACTTCATTGAGACCAACAAGCAAAATATACCACCCATAAACAAAACAGTCTATTCATTATGCCATTCATTCATTATAAATAAAGTAAAAGCAATTAAATAATGCTATAACCATTAGTGTTCCTGCAGAGTTCATATTTTATCCAGAGTTGAAGTAGAATTTTTTTATGATATGTTTTGATATTTTTCTTTTCCCAAGTATGATCCTATGAGAATTATTCTTAAATAAGCTTATCAGGGGGTACTTGGACAATCTTACATATTTTTTACATCTTGATTGATCTATTGGATTTGAAACATTTTATTCTATGGCTTTTTTTTGCATCTAGAAACCTTTTATTTAAGGTAAACAGATGTCATGCATTTCATATATACAAATTTAGGAACATAGAGATCCTTCCCACCCTACCCTCCCTCCTGCCCTGACTCCCACCCTTCTTCCTCCTCTCTCTCCTATTCCCATTCTTATTTTTTAGAAATATCTATTTTTAATTAACTTTAGATATATAAGATTAACCCTACACTAAGTAAAAAGGTCTGATATTAGAATGGCTACACCTGCTCTTTTCTGCTTCCCATTAGCATCAGATACCTTTTTCCAGCCTTTCACTTTCAGTCTGTGGGTATCTTTGTTGGTGAGATGTGTTTGTTGTAAGCAGCAAATAGATAGATCTTGTTTTTTAATCCATTCAGCCAGTCTTTATCTTTTAACTGGAGAGTTGAGGCCATTCACATGCCTTGCCATTTCTCCATAAACATTCCTATTGTCTACTTTGGATTTCCTTTGTTACTTTTATTGGGAAATTTTCTGCCTTCACATTCTTTCATACTGATGATTGTTTCTGTGTGTAGCACATCCTTAAGCATCTTTTCTAAGGCTGGACAAGTGGTGATAAATTCTTTCAATTTCTGTTTGTTATGGAGCTTTTTTATTTCACCTTCATTCGTAAGTGAAAGCTTTGCAGGGTTCAGTATTCTAGGTTGACTGTTTTTTTTCCTCTTAAGACTTGGACTATATCACCATTCTCTCCTAACCTGTAGGGTTTCTGATGAGAAGTCAGCTGTGAGTCTAACTGGAGATCATCTGAAAGTAATCTGGCGTTTTTCTCATGCACATTTTAGAATCTTTCTGTTTTACTGTGGAAAGTTTGACTGTAGTGTGTCATGGTGAAGATCTTTTCTGGTAATGTCTACTAGTTCTTATGTGCTTCCTGTACTTGGATGTCCTTTTCTTTCTCCAAATTGGGGAAAATTCCTGAAATTATTTCACTAAGTAGGCTTTCAGGTTTTTTTTTTTTTTTTTTTTTTTTTTTTGACAGGCAGAGTGGACAGTGAGAGAGAGAGACAGAAAGGTCCTCCTTTTGCCGTTGGTTCACCCTCCAATGGCCGGTGCGGCAGCACACCGCGCTGATCCGAAGGCAGGAGCCAGGTGCTTCTCCTGGTCCCCCATGGGGTGCAGGGCCCAAGTACCTGGGCCATCCTCCACTGCACTCCCGGGCCACAGCAGAGAGCCAGCCTGGAAGGGGGGCAACTGGGACAGAATCCGGTGCCCCGACCGGGACTAGAACCCGGTGTGCCGGCGCCGCTAGGTGGAGGATTAGCCTATTGAGTCACGGCGCCGGCCTAAATAGGCTTTCTAATCCATTCTTTCTTTCTATGCCTTCAGACACTGCTCAGACCCATGTGCTGGGCTGTTTGATAGTATCCTAAAAATCTCCAACTCTGTTTTTAATTTTTCTAATTTCTTCTTTTTTTCCGGTCTGACTAAAATTTCCAGAGGTTTGTCTTCTAACTTGGATATTCTTTCTTCTGTCTCACCAAATTTGTTGTCCAGGCTCTCCACTGCATTTTCTATTTGATCTATTGAATTCTTCATTTTTAATATTTCATTTTTATTTCTCTTTAAAATCTTAATTTCATGGGAAAATATTTCATTCATGTCATGTATGGATTTCTTTAATTCATGGATTTGCTTCTCATTGCTTCTAAGTAATCCTATGATTAACCTTTTGAATTTCATTTCTGGCATTTCTTAAATCTCTTCATCTTCACATTCTTTTTGTTTGTTTGTTTAATATTTATTTATTTATTTGAAAGTCAGAGGTATACAGAGAAAGAAGGTGAGGCAGAGAAAGAGAGAGAGGTCTTCCATCCTTTGGTTCATTCCCCAGTTGGTCACAATGGCTGGAGCTGCATCAGGAGTCTCTTCTGGGTCTCCCACGTGGGTGCAGGGACCCAAGGACTTGGGCCATCCTCCACTGCTTTCCCAGGCCACAGCAGAGAGCTGGATTGGAAGTGCAGCAGCCAGGACTTGAACTGATGCTCATATGGGATGTTGGCAGTGCAGGCGGTGGCTTTACCTACTACGCCACAGTGCCGACTCCTATTTATTTATTTATTTGAAAGGCAAACTTACAGCGAGGTAAATGCAGAGGCAGAGAGAGAGATAGACAGACAGACAGACAGACAGAAAAAAAGGTCTTCCAACCACTGATTCACTCCCCAGATGGCCTCAATGGCCAGAGCTGAGCTGATCTGAATCAGGAGCCTGGAGCTTCTTTCTGGTCTCCTACGCAGGTGCAGGGGCCCAAGCACTTGGCCACCCTCCACTGACTTCCCAGGCACATTAGCAGGTAGCTGGATTAGAAGTGGAGCAGCCAGGACACAAACTGGCGTCATAGGGATGCTGGCGCTGCAGGCCGAGGCTTGGCCTACTATGCCATAACACTGGTCCCTATTCTTGTCTCTTGATACTCTATGGCTCTTAAGGCTCTGTAGTCATATGGTTTCAATAAGGCTTCTATATCATGTTAGTTTTTGACCTTGTCCACATATGTAATGTGACCAACTAAAACACATCTGATTGAGTTTATATAGGTGGCTTGGGCAAAACCACTATCATTTCTGTTTTATGTTAAAGCAGGTTTACATTACTACAGTAACATTTAGATTGATACATCTTACAAAATAACCTTTTGTTTCTCATTGTCAATGACAATATGCAGATTAAATGTCTCTAGCATAAACTGAACTATCTCTTTCCTCCTAAAATAGTTCATATAATACAAAAGCCTAAAATTGAGGTCTATATCATCAATACTATAGATATTTACATACATAGAAATTATTGTTCTTCCTGGAAATAGATAATGGATATGCTTTCATTTTAAAAGCTTAATAAAGGTAAGATCATTCTAATGAATAGATAGTCATTATTGATTTTTTTGGGATAATTAAAATTTATTGATTTATAAGTTGGCTTCTAGTCAATAAATTTCAAAATTATACCTCAAACTAAAATCAGTGTGGCTTTTATTAAGTACATAAATTTGATAAGAGCATTTTTTTTAGAAAGAGCAAAAAACTATGAAAAATTTTGAGATTATGGAAGCTGTGGCAGAATCTTCAGGAATTCCATAAAAGTAAGGCAACTTTTAAGAAAAACAGATTGTTATGTGGTTGAGGTTAGCTATTCTCAGTACTTTACTCATACTTAAAAAGATAGTTCTTTCATGAGATGGTTTTGGAATTTCCATTTTTTATTGACAATTTTTTAATTTATAGAAAGGAAATAAGTTTCATATATACAGGTTTAAAACACAATGATATTTCCCACTCTACTCTCCCTCCCTCACTCTTACCTTCCCTCCTCTTTCCCTTCTTATTTTTAATTTTTACAATAGTATACTTTTAAAAAAAAAAAGAAGCAAAAATACCCCAGTTTAGTGGGAATAGACACAATGGCTATTAACAATAATTGAATGGCAAAATGACCATTTTACCCACATATAGTAAATTTTAAAGTAATCACAGATCATTTTAAAACTATGTAGTATAACATCCTTTTTAAAAATTTACTTTTATTTGTTTATTTGAAATAGTTAGAGAATGAGAGAGAGAAAAAGAGAGACAGAGAGAGCTCTATGTTCCATCTACTGTTTCACTCCCCAAATGGCAGCAACAGTCAGGTCTGGGATAGGCCAAAGCTAGGAGCCAGGAGCTTCATCCAGGTCTCCCACATGGGTGCAGGGACCCAAGGACTTGGGCTTCTTCCGATGCTTTCTCAGGCATATTAGCAGGGAGCTGGATCAGAAGTGGAGCAGCCAAGACTCAAAATGATTCCCACAGGGGATGCTGGGGATGCAGGCAGTGGCTTTACCTGTTAAGCCACAGCATTGGCCCTAATATAACATTCTTAACCACTGGTTTGACAAAGGTATAAAACTATATTTTCAGCAATGCTGACACAGACATTTCTTTTTTTAAATTTTAGTTACCACATAATAAGGGAGAACAAGTGGTATCTTTCTAAACACTCAACATGATGTCCTCCAGTTATGTCCGTTTTGCTGCAAATGGTAGGAATTTTATCCTTTTTTTAATAGCTGAATATTCCATGGAGTATCTATGATACGTTTTCTTTCTTTTCTTTTCTTTTTTTTTACAAGCAGAGTTAGACAATGAGAGAGACAGACAGACAGACAGAGAGTTACAGATAGTGAGAGAGAGACAGAGAGAAAGGTCTTCCTTCCATTGGTTCACTCCCCTAATGGCCGCCACGGCAGACACTTTGCCGATCTGAAGCCAGGAGCCACGTGCTTTCTCCTGGTCTCCCATGCGAGTGCAGGGACCCAAGCACTTGGGCCATCCTCCGCTGCCCTCCTGGGCCACAGCAGAGAGCTAGACTGGAAGAGGAGCAACCGAGATAGAACCGGCACCCCAACTAGAACTAGAATTTTTTTTTTGACAGGCAGAGTTAGAGAGAGAGAGACAGAAACGTCTTCCTTCCATTGGTTCACCCCCCAAATGGCCGCTATGGCTGGCACGCTGCACCGATCAGAAGGCAGGAGCCAGGTGCCTCCTCCTGCTCTCTCATGTGGGTGCAGGGGCCCAAGCACTTGGGCCATCCTCCATAGCCTTCCCGGGCCACAGCAGAGAGCTGGACTGGAAGAGGAGCAACCGGGACAGAATCTGGCGCCCCAACCAGGACTAGAACCCTGCACCACGTGGGAGACCAGGAGGAAGCACCTGGTTCCTGGCTTTGGATCAGCACAGCGCTCCAGCCGTAGCGGCCACTTGGGGGGTGAACCAATGGAAGGAAGACCTTTCTCTCTCTCTCTCTCACTGTCTATAAATAAAAATGAGCAAATACAAATTAAGGATTTAGATTTATATGTGCTATCATGAAGCAACATATTCTGCTAATAGGGATAAAAATACCTTGCATTCACTTACTATATGCCCAGCACTCTGTTGAGTATATTTCATTCCTATCCCCATAAAGTGGGTATTTTATCTCCCATTCTACAGATGCAACAATTTAATCTCAGCACAGAGAAGTAGTTAGTTCCCAGTCTTGCAATCCAGTCAGTAGTGGAACTGAGCTTTCTAGCCTCAAAATTTGTGCCAAACTATTGTGGGATGTATATCACTTCTCAAATAATTTACAATAAAGATCATTGGTTACTAAAAATTGTAGCATCCAGAAATTTTAGAATTTATAACTAATAAGCTGAAGACATTTATTTAAGCAGACTATGTATACATGTTTAATTAGCTAACTTGCTGTTTTCCTAATAGGATTGAATTTGTTCTTACTGAACAGAGTCAGGGAGCTTTTGTGTAGGTATGCTATGCTTATTCACTTAAAGTTTGCTGTATGCAAATTAAGTACTAGGCACTCATGGGAACAGAGTAAGAATAAGTTTTAAAAAGATGTAACTGTAGCTGTGATTCAGAGTTGACAGTATTATTACATTTCAAGAAATGACATTACCTTCGAGGGACATTGTGAGGGTATGGAATGACAATTAGCTGGGAATTTGGAATGATTGCAGTCCACTCTTGTTTCCGTACAGACTGGAAAAAGAATTTAAGAACATTTAACATCAAGGACGCTAAAAAAAATCACAATTATTCTAAATAAGAAAAAAGTCTCAAGTACTTTAAGAAATGGAAATCCTAGGTATAGATTAAGCTAAGTTTACATATATTAAACCCAAAACAGGGTACCATCTGTTGGAAAAATTTTCTCATCTATTCAGGGAAGGATTATGTTATGTCTTAAGAATAAATTTATTCAACAAATAATTTTTGGACACTTATGTATCAGGCACTGTTCAAAGTACTATGTACAGAAATGCTGCTTAGAGTTCAGACTCTTGTTGGGAGGAGACTGAAAATAAAAACAAGCATGATTATACATATGCAGAAGTAGAACATTTTACATATTAGTGAAATTTATTTTACTTATATATGTTAGGTGGTAAAAGGAGAAAAATCAGGAAAGATAGGAAGTTGTTAAGTTTAAAGGAGAGAGGAGGTGGAAAAATTTTAGAATGTCTTTAAATCATGACAGGTCACTAACAAATTTTTTTTTGTCTTTAAAATTGATAAAAATTTGAATTGTTTGAATTTAAATTCAATTATTTGAATTCAAATTATTGAGTTCAAATATTCAACTAGTGAATATATTAAAGCATAGACTAATTATAAACAAACTAACTTTTACTTACCCTCTCTCCAGATGGACGGGGAATACCAACATAAAGATGGTCAAGAAAATTTGCACTTCGACCTAAGCCAAGAACATTGTATGGTAGTTGGAGGGCTAAATGTGCTGACTGGCTGAGTTGTCCAGCTAGATTTATTAAGGAAAAAAAAGACAAAAAAAATCACTGGAGACAGTGCTCTTATCAGATATTAAAAACTTAGGTACTAGAATGTACTCCTTAAGTGTAAAAATATGAAGTGAAACAGCCAATCCAGTAATATTAATGATTCACTTTTAAATGAAAAGCAGCTTTATTGAGATATAATTTATATACCATAAATATCACCCTTTACAGTTAAGGGGTTTTAAGTATAGTCAAAGGCTTCAGCCATCACAATAAACTTATTTTAGAACATTTTCAACATTTAGAAAGAAACGGCATACCCATTATCTGTACTATTTCCTAACCCCATGCTTCCAGCTGTAGGTAATCACTTATCTGCTCTCTGTCTCTATACATTGCCTATGCTGAAGATTTCATATAAATGCAGTCATCCAAGAAGTGGCCTTTTATGACTGGCTTCTTTTATTTAGCACAATGTTTCAAGGTTCACCCATTCTGTGGCATTTTCAATACCTCATTACTTTGAAGTCTCCAAAAATATTCCAGTGTATGATACAACAATGTTTATTAATTGTTTTATTAGTCAAGTTTTTCACTGATGGATATTGTGTAATTTCTACATTTTGGTTATTACTGTTAACATTCACATATAATTTTTTGTATCTATGTTTTCCTAGCTCTTGATTATAAACCGTAGAGTTTAAGATGTCTAGAACTACCAAACTATTTTTTTTTAGGGGCCATGGTAATCTCTGTATCGTTCCAATTTTAGTATATGTGCTGCCGAAGGGAGCACAACTACCAAAGTATTTTATAAGTAGCTGCACCCTTTTTTTTTTTTTTAATTTATTTGAAAGAGTTACAGAGAGGGAGAGGGAGAGGAAGAGAGAGACATACACACACACACAGATCTTCCATCTTCCACTGCTTTTCCCAGGCCAGGGGCTGGATTGGAAGTGGAGTAGCCTGGACTTGAACTGGTACCCATATAGGATGCCAGCCAGTGTCACAGGCAGTGGCTTTACCTGCTATGCCACAACACCAGACCCAGCTGTACCATTTAGTATTCCCACTAGCAATATATGAAAAATCTAATTTTTCAACATCCTTGCTAATCCTTCTTAATGTATGTCTTTTTGATTATATCTATCTTAGTAGTTGTGAAGTAGTACCTCATTGAATTTCTTATTTGCATTTCCCATAACCAAGTTGGAGCTTCTTTTCATGTTTATTGACTATTTGTATGACTACTTTATTTCTATAAGGTTAGTAGTGTTCTCTTTCATTCTGAATTTTAATAATTTGGATGTTCTTTTTTTCTTGTTCAGACTAGATTCCAAGGATATATAGGAGCGTTTCAGAGTTGCCTTAGTGATCTGGTGTCCTAGGAGGTCCTTTTCTATTTTGGATAGATTCTTGTCTGTCAATCTGATCACAGATTTAGATAACTGGGATGTTGTGAGCAGATTGCTGCTGTGTGTGGTTTTGGAATAGCAAGATGAGGACCTTGTGAACTTATTCTCTTCTCCTCCAACCCTCTCTAGTGTAAAAATATTGACTAGTCACCTATATTAAGACCACCAAGAACTGAACTCTTGAAATCAAATCAAACTGCTAACACTATGTGGACATTTGCCAGTTCAGACAAAATACTGATAGTGCTTTGGGGATGGAGTCTTTACGGGAGCTCCAAAGAAGGCAGTCTTGGCTGTTAGTAGTGAAGTTGCTTCTTTTCATAAAAACCGGAGTACTCAGTTGAGAAGTGAGGAAGATGGGAATAGGGTCAAGTTAAAATGGCAGAGTTTGTTCGTACTGAAGGTTAATAGTTGCTCTTGGATAGACAAGGCCTAGTCATTCTGTGGTTTTGGCTAATTTCCAGAGTTCTGAAATAGTTGATATTAGATGGTTGGCCAGTATTTTGTTGTATGGGGATAGAGAGAAGGAGAGAGCAAGTTCATTAGATCCTTGCTCTTCCATTCCTAAGTCATTCTTGGGGCAAGTATATGGCCTAGTGGTTAAGATACCCACTTCTTATTTTGGAGTATCTGGGTTTAATAACCGGCCCCACTCTTGAGGCCACCCACTTGGGAGACCTGGGGCAAGTTCCTGGCTCCCAGCTTCAGCGCTGACCTAGCTTCAGCTATTGTTGGAATTTGGGGAGTGATCCAGTGAACAGGAGCTCACTCTAATTCTCTCTCTCTCACATAAATTTTTAAAAAGGAGTATGTAACTGATGTAGCAGTTAGGATGCCACTTGGATGCCCATTTCCCATATTAGAATGCCTTGGTTTGAATCATGTCTCTGCTTCTGATTCCAGCTTCCTGCTAATGCACAGGCTGGCAGGTATCAGGTGATGGCTCAAGTAGTTGGTTCCCTCCCACTGCAACTGGGAGGCCTGGACTGGTGCCCAACTCCTGGCTTTGGCCTGGATGTGGGTGTTTGAAGAGTGAATCATTAGAGTTCTCTGTCTCTCTCCCTCTGCTGTTCAAATAAATACATTTTATTTTTTTAAAAAGATTTAAATACACAAATACAGCATAAGCATGTAGAAACTTAAAAAAAAAAAAGGTCAATCTCTCTCTACTTTGATTCACCACTACAGAGTACATGTACTTGCTTGTTATTCTTCTACATAATCAAACAGAAATTTTCAGGGAAAATGACAAGCCTGTGGGCCATATAAGGACTCATTTGGTCTGGCCCTGCCAAGGCGACCACAGGTAGGAAATTCAATACATTTGTAGTAGGTTGATTTTTAAGTTGATAATATTGTATGGCCCATGAATGATATTATAAATATCCAAATGGCCCTTGCCGGAAAAAAAAAAAAAAAAACAATTCCCCATCCATGGATATTAGTTAATATAAAAATATTTTAAAATTCAAGAAGACGCTGCTAAACATCATCAATATTATTCAAACACAGGAAATCATTGGAAGGTACACACACTAGATTGTTTATATAGTTATGAAGTTGGAAATAGTAAGGTTTAATGAAAAGGAACATGCATTTAGGGCAGGCATTTAAAAAATCAAGCAATGTATATGAAATTGTAAAGCAACATAGTAAATAGCATTAAGACTATAGAATTAGTCCAATTTGTGTAGTGTGCTAATGTAATCATACTTAATCACACAGTAAATACTTAATATATTGCCATTTTATTAACAAAATACATTAGAGCTGAATTAAAATTTAAGCATATAATGATTTCATGACAGTACTAAAAAAGAGTGACTTAGCAGACATCAAACTAGTCTTTCTTCTCCCCACCTTCGTGCTAGTCAAAGCACGAAGGTCAAACTAGTTTTATAAACTATTTTCCTATAATTATCCTACTGAAAAGAATAAAATTCAGAATTTTATCAGCATTACTCCATTAAACATTATAGAACATAATATTTTAAAATTGCATATGTAATAAGAAAACTATTAGAATCAAAGAAAAATTATCTAGAATCTCATGAGATAATCATTAATTTTAGCATGCTTTTAGTCATGTACTTTTTTTAAAAGGCATGTACACGCAAATAGTCATTTTAGTAAATTTTAGTTTAACTTAATATTACTGCATCAGTATTTACTTATCATAAAGTTTCTGTAAAGACAGATTAGCAGAAAGATTATTAAACACCAAAGTCTGATTAATTAAGAGAAAACCAAAGGTACCTAGGGTAAAAGACATTACTATGTATATGCTTAAAAATTGTTTTTCTAAAATGCTATCTATGCAGACATTATAAAAACATGATTTTATGGCCTATGTAATAATCTTCTTATTTAAATATTAATCTGTTAGAAATTAAAAACATTTTCTAATCTTTCACTATTACAAAGAACACTTTAGTGAATATCTGCACATCAGTTTTTGTTTACAAAAACTGATTACTTTCTCATATTTCTAGATGTGGAATACTGGAACAAGCAGTAGAAAGCTTGAAAATTTACTCTTTTTTTAAAAAATTTAATTCAAGGAAGGAGTTATTATCCTTCTCCCATCCCACTTTTCATTATTGAAGTCATTCTTCATGTAGTTCCTCAATCACAGCATAAATTTTTAAAAAGATTTACTCATTTATTTGAAAGGCAGAGTTAGAGAGAGTCAGAGGCAGAGGTAGAGAAAGAGAAAGAGGTCTTCCATCTGCTGGTTCACTCCCCAAATGCTATAACAGCTGGAGCTAGGCTGATCTGAAGCCAGGATCCTGGGGCTTCCTCCAGGTCTCCCACGTGGGTGCAGGGGCCCAAGGACTTGGGCCATCTTCTACTGCTTTCTCAGGTGTATTAGCAGGGAGCTGGATCAGAAGTGGAACAGCCAGGATTCAAACCGGTGCCCATATGGGATGCTGGTACTGCAGCAGCGGCTTTACCACATTGCTGGCCACAATTTACTCTTTTTCTAAAAATGCACTTTTTATTTATTTGACAGAACAAGACAAAGGCAAAGAGATTTCCCATCTACTGTTTAACTTTCTAAATGCCTGCAACAGTTAGAGCTGGTCCAGGATGAAGCTAGGAGCCAGGAAATCCCTCTGAGTCTCCTACAGGGATGGCAGGGGCCCAAGAACTTGGGCCATCATCTGCTGTACATTAGCAGGACGTTGGATCGGAAGTGGAACAGCCAGGACTAGAACCATCATTCCAATATGGGATGCCTGGGTTCCAAGTGACAGCTTAACATGCTGTACCAGCACACTGACCCCTGGAAACGTATTCTTAAACAAACAAAACTTGTTTCTTAAAAAGAGATTGTACTACTTTACATTTTTATTAGCATTAGTGAAAGCACTCATTCCAATCTATTCTTTTTCCAAAAGATTGAAGAATTCATAATACAGCCATTTTCAAGTGTAAAAATAAGTATATTTAGTATATACACAATGGTGCACAACTACAAGGTCTCTCTAGACTCCAAAGTTTTAAATCTCATTTCTCCTTACCCTGGTAACCTCTATTCTGCCTTTTTTTTTTCCCCTGACAGGCAGAGTTAGACAGTGAGAGAGAGAGAGAAAAGTATTCCTTCTGTTGGTTCACCCCCAAAATGGCTGCTACAGCTGGCACGCTGCGCTGATCCGAAGCCAGGAGCCAGGTGCTTCCTCCTGGTTTCCCATGCGGGTGCAGGGCCTAAGCACTTGGGCCATCCTCCACTGCCTTCCTGGGCCACAGCAGAGAGCTGGGCTAGAAGAGGAGCAACCGGGACAGAATCTGATGCCCCGACCAGGACTAGAACCTGGGGTGCTGCACTGCAGGCAGAGGATTAGCCTAGTGAGCCTAGGCGCTGGCCTCTAATATGCTTTCAGTCTCTGTGGACTTGGCTATTCAGAATCTGAGTATAAGTGACCACTTACGTCTGGCTGCTTTCACTTAGTGTAATATTTTCGAAGGTCATATATGATGTAGTAAATACTATTCTTCATTCCTTTTTTATGTGTGTGTATATCTATGTATGTATCTTGATTTACTTATCCATCAATCCACTTGATAGACATTTGGGTTGCTTCTATCTTTTGCCTTTTGTGAGTCATGAACTTAGATGTATAAATATCTCTGAGACTCTGCTTCCAATTTTGAGTATATACTCAGGTAGAACTGGTCATTAGGTAATTGTAGGTTTAATTTTTTGAGGAATTCCCATATTTTTTTTCCTCCAGCAGTTGCATCATTTCCCATTCCCACCAGTAATGTATGAGGGTTCCTATTAACATCTTCACTGATATTTGTTATATTCTGTCCTTTTATTAATGCTATACTAATGGTTGATTTCCATTTCCTTTATGACCAGTGATATATGACATCT